AAAATACATTTTTGCTTGTTTTTTTCTGGAAGATTTTTGAGTTTAAATAATTTTGTTTAGAAACATATTTATCTCTCTTTTGTTGCATTTTCTCCTTTTGTAGCCGTTTGCTCCAGCGACCCGTTTGTGGAAAAAACCTTGACGATCCGGCCTGGTCCGATCAGCTCCTAACTTCTCCACCAGCCTCCTCGGTTCTCCCTTTCTCCTCTTTCTCCTTCTGCTCTTCCTCCTCTTCCTCATAGCACCAGAACATTCACACTGAGTGAGACTGGATGTCCTTCCACCACAATCAGCAGAAGGTCTTTCAAGGTTTCTCTCTCTTCCCTGCTTACTTGAAACAAGCTGAACTCAAAGCTAAACCAAAGTTAGCTTGAACTGTTTTGACGATGAAATGTTAGTTTTTTATTAATTTTAATTTTTTTTTACAGATGATTAAAAAAATCTAGAAAACCTGCAACTTGCAGCATCTGATCAAATCAAACTGTTTTAGTTTATGACAGTTTTTATGGCTTCCTGTTTACACATTATCGTTTCTCAAACTAAATAAACTGTAAAGACTAGAAGCTAATTACCGTCAATATGTACAATTTTGTAAAAACTTCTTATTAAATCTATATTTTGTGCCTCACATGATAACAGAAACCCAACAGCTTTGAATTTCAAATCTAATTCTGCAGAATTGTTTTTGGTTATTATGAATAATTTCTTTATTGTACAGAAGTAAAAATATGCAGCTACTGCTTTAATTAATGCTCTGATCCAAACTGATAAGAAACGTTTTCTTAGTCCTAACTTTATTACGTTCATGGAAATGATGTCATTTTATCATTAACTCTAACATGAGTGAATCAAACTTCCTGTCAGTGAAGCACATTTTGTGTTGGTTTTAAAATAAAAACATTTTGTGTTGGTTTTAAAATAAAAACATTTTGTGTTGGTTTTAAAATAAAAACATTTTGTGTTGGTTTTAAAATAAAAACATTTTGTGTTGGTTTTAAAATAAAAACATTTTGTGTTGGTTTTAAAATAAAAACATTTTGTGTTGGTTTTAATAAAAACATTTTGTGTTGGTTTTAAAATAAAAACATTTTTTGTTGGTTTTAAAATAAAATTGTTTTGTTTTAATAAAACATCTTTCTGCTTTAATTTAAATCCTGTTATATCACGTTATGATTAAGTCTGTCGAAAAGTGACATAAAAACATTTTTGGTTTAACTTTGGCTAACAGTAAAAAAAAAATAAAACAGTTCATATCTTTTACTTCGTATATAGCAAACCAATGAGTTTTTTGTTTATTCCTGTAATATTTGCATTTAGTTTCCACAAAAAATGACGACAAAAGTAAGTATTAGTAATGTACTTTTAGATCAGATGTTTTTTTGTCATTAGTTGGAATATTTCAGCTTTTTTATTTTTTACATAATTTTCCATCTCCTTTTTGTTTTATCTTTATTTCTATTTTGAATCCTAACAAAATGGTGATTATTTAAAACATTTTGTCTATTTTTAACTGACATGATAATTTATCTTTTCAACAAGTCGTGCGATATCAAAAACTTTACCAACGCCTGGAAGTTTCATGTTCTGTGTGCTCCAACATTACAGAAGGGTAATTTACTGACGTCCCTGAACACATCTTGTATCAAATGAGGTTAAAGCTAACCTCATTAACCTCGTTTAGATCAAGAACTTCCTGCTTTTATGGTAATGATTTATTTGGACGTTTACCACATTAAAATCTCTCATCTCTGAAAGACGCGCTGCTGGTGAGATACTGATTACTCATAACTACCCCACACAGCCACACTTCAAACACTGAATAGTAACTTTATACTTATCCTGTAGAAACTTGAAAATAACTCGGCGCTGTAGAGTCACAGTGAAACTCCAGGTGCCTCGAAGAATCACGAGGTTGTCACAAACTTGTCTCTCATGCAGAGATCATTGTTTCCTCCTCTTCAGCTCAGATTTGGCTCGTACTGTCCAGCAGGTGTGACGACTTTCACTTTCTAAATACGTAAACTCTGTTTAAATTTGGCTGGAGTTGATTAATGCCTGAACTGGTTTATTCCGTCCAAACAGTTTCCGCAAAAACTAAGAATCAGACAGGAAGAGATGCATCACGATAAACTATTTCTGTTCCACTGTAACTCCAAACGAACCAGATAATTAGACTTTCATCTAGTGTCACAGTCATCGTGTGTAAAAGAGAGATAGAAACAAATCAGATGTCTGCAGAGTCTGGATTTTCCTAAAACCTTTATAATAGGAAACGTTTTTACATTTAACTAAAGTTTATTCAGCATCTGAATAAACCTTCTGGTTTTTCATTCAGAGTGAATAAAGACAGACTGATAAGAACTGACATCCCAAGATGCTCTGCAACTGGAGTTACTGAGAACCTTTATATTTCCGCCTCAGTTCGCCTTTTATTTTGCTTAATGTTTCCACAGAGGCCTTATTTTTATTCTTCTTTTTGTTACTTGACATACAGTTAAAATTTTGCTGACCTCCAACTGAACGGAGAACCACAGAAAATAAAAACACATGGCAGCATCACTGCAACCTGAGCCGTCCTCCTCACACCCACCGAGGCTTTATCAGCTTTCAGATGACAAACGGCTTGTAGTGCCCATAAAAAGGGGAAAGTCCCCCACTCCCTCCTGCACATTCTGCAAGTCATCTTCACACTCCCACATAAACTGACACCTTCTACTTTCGCTTAAATTTGAAGTTTCAAAGATTAAAATTAACTATATTTTCTTGAGTGATAATTTTAGTCTCCACATGACAGAAACATAACATTTTATCAAACATATTTATTTAGTTTCAAGTGTAAATATTTTCCTTTTGTCAACAACAAATCAAAATACAGGAAATAATCTAAATTCTCAGGCAGAAGAATTTAAATTATTTTTGTTTGACAAGACAAAAAGGTGACAGAAAGGTCATACTTCTTCTTAATTTGATGCTTTTTGATTACAAAGGCTTTATTTTATTCGATATTACATTACAAAAACACAACATTGTAGTATTCTAGCCATTTTATTTCAAATTAACCTTTTTTTAACTCATAAAACAAGGTATAATTACCCTGTTATCTTTAACAGGGTAATTTTTGCACCAGATGCAAAAATTACATCCGGTGTACCCCAAGGTTTTGTCTTTGGACACCTACTATTTACTATCTGCATGCTCTGAAGAGCTCAGATTATAACAAACAAATCACATCTGGCCCAAAAATTCTTGGTAAGATTTTGTGTTTTTGCAGTGCAGCAAGCTTTACACACAATGTGACTTTATGGTTTAATGAAATTATGAGGTTTATTACAAGCCAGGCTCAAAAATACTGAACATTCTTTGAAAAACATCAAGTAATTTACGTTTTCTAAAAACATGGATGGTACAAAATTAATAAAGAAGTTACAATAATTTCACACAGAACAAAATCAACAACTATACAGAAAATGTCTGTTTTTGTCATAGTGGATGCAATAAATACGACTTTGTGTTCTTAATCAAGTATAAGAACGTAAACCTGTAATGTGATTTATGACTTTCCAGAGTCATGAAGTGGTAAATCACTCATGCATGTATGGAGTTACTCATCATCCATCATCTGCACTGAGCAAAGGTCCAACTGGACTTTCAAAATAAATGTTTCCAGCAGCCCAGCAGTGTATTAAATATCAGTCTGAGCTTGAAATGTGTTCTTTGCTCTTCAGACTTTCACTTCAGTGCATAAGTTTGTGTTTCACAGAAACATTTTGTAATGTCCCACAGAGCCTGATCTCTGCTTCACTGCAGATGGAAAACTAGAGCACAAAAAAACATGACAAATTAACTTTACTCAATAGTTTCATGACGTCAGTGACACGTTTAACCCAAACATCGAGGAACCAGGTCAGTTTGCATAGATGCATGGATAAATTGACACAAACTGATTCACTCAGCGTAATCATTCAAACCATCTGCTAAAATAAGAATAAAAAATATTTTCAAATATCCTCCTGCACTGATGTAGCTCTTTATATGGTGGCATAAAAGGGCTGTATCAGAAAAAATACAATCAAGAGAATAAAGTCAAGAAATTACACCAATAAAGTTGTAACATGATGAGAATAAAGTCAAAATATCACTTAACACTTTTTGTGTTGTTTTGACTTTGTCATTTTATTATTTTTATTTTCTTAACACTTGATTTTTATTGACATGCATTTAGCTGCAACATGCTAACTTAGCAGCCCTAAAAGCTAATTGCTAGCTTACCAATTGGTAACTGTAGCTTAAAATTAAAACAACAAATAAATGAGCAAATATACAAAACAGTACATTTATATTATTTTACCTAAACAGCTTGACCACAACAACAAAAAACGAAACTAATTCAGCACCAAAAATCCACCAATGGCTAAATCCACAATTAGTAAAAATGAACAAAAATAGTAATAGATATATTTAGATTCAAAATGGAAATATTTTTTTAATTTGACCAGCATGTTTCTTGAGGATATCCGCCTCAGATTCAATCAGAATCAAACTTCCTGGATCAATAAAACAATATTTAAAACTGGAGAATAACAGGTACATAAAGTTAAACACCTGTGGATCACGATGTTTCCGTGACAAGCAATTAATTTAAAGCTGTTTTCTGTGGATTTTTCTTATTGCGGAGAGAATCAGCAGAGGATTCAGTTCATTATTAATGTTCTTCCACTGCAGGCAGAATATTATTTAGTGTAACAGTTTCCATTACAGCCGCTGTGGTTGGTCTCTGTAAACGCAGGCTCTGTAGCACTCAGCACAAAAACCACTACAAAGAAGCTTGTGGTGGCAGAGGGAGTACTTTTCCAGGAACAGCCACTCCTCTGAAACTGGGCTGATGAAAAAATGTCACCATGAGGCCCGAGGCGGAGAGAGCAACCTGAAAAATTTCCCTCGACATTCAGAGGAGCGACAGACAATTTTCTATAACTAAACGCACCTTTCTGGTGCAAAACTCTTACTGGTTTTGAATTAGAGTCACATTGAAAATTACCTTCGAGATTGAACAAAACGGTAAAGAATGTAAAGTATTAGAGCCACAAATACAGCAGCGACTGAAAGTGTCACAGCCAATCTAATGGTTTGGTCCGGTCCGGTTGGAGCGAGTTCAGCATCTGCATGGAGAAAAAGCATCAGAATAAAAACTAAAAGAACAAATATTTATGCTGTTTTGTCAGGTTTCCAAAAAGATTAGGAAAAACAACACAAACATTGGTGTGACTTTATAAACGCTTCCTTAAATTGGAGAAGTGGAGGAAACAACAGAGCAAACTCGTTATCCTGTCACTTTAAATCCATATAAGCTGTTGCTGGCCACGCCCCCAATTCAACTTTACACTCACATGAAAATGGATGCTAACAGTTTAAAACAAAAAAACGGCTGACCAAATCTGCTGGAGTTAGGATTGGGTTGCTAGGTATCAGCCGCCGTCGTTTGTTCAGTAGAAACTCAACACAAAATGTTCAGAAAATAAATCTGAGCCTCCGTTATGAACAAGCTTTCACTGCATAATAGTTTGGTGGCAACCTCTCAGTTTCATCCGCCGTTGTACAAAGAAAGAAACGAAAAACAACGAGTCTGGAGCAAAATGTCCAGCGTCCAACTCAGAGTTTTGGACGCGTTTTTCAGACTGAACGCAGGACAACGTATCACCAAACATGGTTGGGTTGTTTAGTTTGAGCTCTTGGGATGTTTTTAGGAGCAGCAGAAACAGAAGTGGAAGCATGAAAACTGTATCAAAGTCCACAGACTTACATGGAGGCGTCGCGACAAAAAGTATGTTTCCTGACGGATTGTCATTTCCTCCAATCGTAACGTTCAGAACAAATTGTTCTGCAGGGGAAAAAACAGTTCAGTGACATTTCTTTTCTTGTTTGACAAAAACGTCTTATGTTTTTTTTTTTTTTCACCTTTCATTTGAAGTCTCCATTTCTCTGTGACGTCATCGAAGTCGGCGTTCAGGTAGCAGGTGTAAATCCCAGAGTCTCCGGTTTGGACTCTGGACAGATGGAGTCGGATCTTTGCCTCCTGGGGAGCGTCTTTGTCCAAATGGACCCGTCCTGCAAACTGCTCATCAGCCGGAACCAGGGAACCTCCGACTGTGTCGAAAACTATCTTTACCGAGTCCGAGACAAATTCACAGATCACGTTGATGAGAGTCCAGTTAGTTTTCATGTTAGTGCTCCAATCGACGGTGATGTTGTCGTTTTCTTTGGCTCTGTAGACCATCGAGCAGTTCGTGACGCTTCTCTTTTCAAAGGTAAGATAATAAAGAATAATTGAGTATAAAAACTGACTGCAGAGATCACAGATGTAGAGGAGGAACTTTATCGCCTGCATCATGTTTCCTGCAAGAGAATGTAAATAAAGGTTTGTTTTACAAGTTTAAGATAAAAAATTTTTATTTTATAAATCCTGTATAATAGGCCGGCTGTTTCTGGAAGGGCTCTTCTCTGTTAGCACAACGTGGCCATAAAGTTACAAAATATAACTGAGGAATGTCTTAAAATCAACACAAAATGTAAATAAATACATCCTTGAACATAATTTGTAATACTTTATGCGATAACATACATGCAATTATTAAAAATACAAAGTTGCTCTTTTTAAAAGTGAAAATGTAATAATATGGCTCAGTGTTTGTGTTCATTTTAATCAATATGCTTCTAATAATAATCATAAATTATATTATATTTTTACACTTTGATCAATTAATATCAAATATTTGGTCACTTAGTTGACAAAACAGTTCCTCTCCTCACCAGTGGGGGCGCTACAACAAGAACCAGAGGAAGGAAATAACATGAAAACCTCTGAAGAATAGACTCAGTGCAACAGTAGGATTGCTCTTTGGGACTGGCTAGCGCTAGGCTAGCACGCTTCTTTTGGCTGCATTTACCCAGAATGCCCTGCGCAGTCCACTTCCTGCTTTTGGAGCCATTTCTGGTCTGTTTGGCATTCACACATTCACTCAAACAGCACCGGAGTTCACTTATCCTCCTCTGACTAACTCCACTTTCTAGCAGGATTGAAACGGTTAATCAGATCACAATTAACTGATTGTTGAAATAACCGTTAACTAATTTAGAAATCAATTAATCGTTAACTGGAGTATATAGACCCTGACAAAAGACAATTAGCTAAATAAAACAACCCAGTCAGAGCAGAAATTATGACAGAACTGTACAATAAATACAAACATTTTACATTTAAGATAAAATAACGTTTTTGTCTGTAAATGCTTTACCCTAAACTCCTTATGTAGCTGTTTTAGCTTCACCTGATATTTCTGTAAAAATCTCAGATTTAATCCAAACAGTAGTCAGATTACAGATTAGCCCAAAGCTCTATTGATGTTTATTCAAGCAGGACAGGCTGAGCTTTTCACATGTTGATGTTTGAAGGATTTTTTAGCAAACCCCCCCTTCTTGTTTTCTAAGCTCATTAAAGCCTCTTGTTGCAACAAACATATTTGTCCTTAAAAGTAATAGATTACTTTAATACTTACATGTATGAACGGTTTCTGCAGCTCTGTGGTCGCAGGTGTCTCATTCATCCGTCTGTTCAGTTCCCTCAGGATTTACCCCCTTCCGTTTGCACTTCCTGTGCTCAATCTGAGCATGAACAGATAATTTATGGACCTGCAGAATAAAAGAACAGAGAATCAAAATTTCAAAATGAGAATCGAGATTTGGTTGACTGCAGTTTCTAAAATGATAAAACTGATAAAATGTTGGAGTTTCAACGTTAAACATCCAGGAAGTTTAAACGACATAAAATAGTTTTTTTTAGAACGAACTGAAAAATGATCCAACAATTAACAGAAAAAAGTCACTGGAACAAATATTTTATTCATAGTTTTAAGTGAAGTTAATTTGGAAACATTTTCTTTTGCCTAAGTTTGTTATTTTTGTTACTTATATGAATTATTGCCATTTTGGTTCTTAAAACACCTAAATTTCCACTTAACTTTCTGTTTTTGTCTGCATGATGACGTAATTTTTTAATTTTAAATGACTTTATCAGAACTTTTTTTACCAAACACATTTTACCCTTTTAACTTTTACTACTTTAGTAAAAATACTTTGAAGTAAAGCTACTTTTATTAAAGTACAACTTTTGGCTGCTCCATCCACCAGTGTCTAAATTAAGACTTGATCATCATTTGTTCTTGTTTCAACATGTTTAAAAAATCCCAGAGTTTTATGACTTAAACGTCTATTTTAGAAGAACCAAAAGAAAAGAGGAGGATCAACGCCTGCAGTAAAAATCGATCAAAAAGCTCGTCGCCACATAAAGGTCAGTAAAGGTTAAAGCTGCCGCCACGTTTCCAGTTTTAAAACCCGTCACTGATGATGAGTCAACACTTAAAATATCAACACTTAAAACAAAATCTACAAAGCAGGTCAGAAACTCTGGATGTAAAATAGTTCAGAGCAACAAGACAACAGATTATCACCAGAAAAATGTTGCTTCAATCCAACGTTTGCTCTTTTACCCAGAAACAAATATCAATGTTTTAATGATTCGCTAATTTGCTGAATCTACAGAAATCAAGACAACCAGAAAAATTTAGATCTGCTGTTTACTAAATAACCTGAAACAGAACCTTATCTTTGCATCACAGCTGCATTTTCTTTTTAATACTTCAGATTTGCTCTACAAAAGAGAAATTATTATTTTCTGCACAGAAAAACTTAAAGTGGTACAAATAAAGCACCAATAGAAGCATAACGCTAACGTGTTAACGTTGGTAAAGTCTGATTATATTATTTATGTAACATAAACGTGAAACTGAACCGAAATTACAGATCAATATTTCAAGGCTGTTGCTGTTTTTCTGGAGGATTGGTCGTTGTTGACCATTGGTCATGTGATATTTGTTTGATGATGTCACAGTGACGCGGCGCCGCACGGTGGGGGGTTTACCTGAAGCACAGGAGCTTCACTGGTGAGGAGGGATCAATAACATCGGTAAATATTGGTTATTGGCCAACATTAACATCCGATAGAGGCATCAAATCGCTGCAGCTGTAAATGACAGAATGGATTTTTTTAAATCAAAATGATCAATTTTTATTGCGATGATCAATGATCATGATTTGTGGTTCTAATTTAAAAGTATCTAAGAAATTTGTATGATTTTTGTGCTCATGTATGATGTTAAACATTTTTATTAATCATGGGTCATAACTTAAGCGGCAGTCACTTAAACCAAAATCTTTTGAGAAAAATTTGCAGTAAAAATCTGAATAAAATGTGGGAGTTTGTAGATTGTGTGAATTTTGTTTGAGTTTTGCAGATTTGTTGAAAATCTAGAGGGACTTAAAGATGTAATATGGAGTCTGGAGGGCCACATAAAAAGCTGTAACGGGCCACGTTTGGCCCCCGGACCATGAGTTTGACACGTGTTGCAAGTAGACGCAAGTAGACGCTATTGTTCCTTGTGGGAGTGAGACTCCTTCTGTATGGATCACCTTCCCCCTCTGTGTGATCAGCCGACCACACTTCTCTAGTCCGAATGACATCCCAATGTCAGTGCTGTAGATCCTGGTGGTGTGGATCAGTGAGTCGATGTCTCGCTCACTCTTGGCGTACAGCTTGATGTCATCCATGTAGAGGAGGTGACTGATGTTGGCCCCATTTTTGAGTCGGTATCCGTAGCCAGTCTTGTTGATAACTTGGCTGAGGGGGTTCAGGCCTATGCAGAACAGTAGCGGGGACAGAGCATCTCCTTGGTATATGCCACATTTGATGGACACTTGTGCAAGTGGTTTGCAGTTGGCTTCAAGGGTGGTTTTCCACAGCTTCATCGAGTTTGCAATGAAGGCTCTCAGAATCCTGTTGATGTTATACATCTGTAGGCATTCAATGATCCAAGTATGCGGCATTGAGTCATAGGCTTTCTTGTAATCGATCCAAGCCATGCACAGGTTGGTGTGTCGGGTTTTGCAGTCTCGGGCAACTGTGCGGTCTACGAGGAGTTGGTGTTTGGCTCCTCTGGTATTTACACCAATACCCTTCTGTGCCGTGCTCATGTGTTTATCTATGTGTTTGCTTATCTTGGCCACTATGATGCCTGACATGAGCTTCCAGGTTGTGGAGAGGCAGGTTATTGGTCGGTAGTTGGGTGGGACTGGACCCTTTGATGGATCCTTCTGGATTAGGATTGTCCGCCCTTCAGTTAACCATTCAGGGTGAGTCCCACTTTGTAGCAGCTGGTTCATTTGGGCTGCCAGTCGCTCATGGAGAGCAGTGAGTTTCTTTAGCCAGTAGGCATGGATCATGTCAGGCCCTGGTGCTGTCCAGTTTTTCATACCTGAGACTTTTTCTTGAACATCTGTCACAGTGATGGTTACCGGGGCTTGCTCAGGGAGGTTGCTGTGGTCCTCTCGTAGAGAGATCAGCCACTGTGCATTGCTGTTGCTGTTGTTTTCTTGTGCAAATATCTTAGTAAACTTGAAATAAAACAAAAATAACTTTTCAGTAAAATAAATTATCTTGCTTTAAGTAAATAATTCCTTGATGTTGATGAAAAAGTTCCAACACTGGCAGATTATCTCACTATTGTGAAAAAGAAATGAAATTGTTCTGGATAATTTATGAAACTTTAGGGTTTTTACTCAGCACAGAAAAACCATGTCAGCCAGAATGTTTCTGGTTGACCTCTGACTTCTCCGTGTTCCAGATGCAGGTACAACACCGACTGCTTCATTTACAGAAATGAACTCAAACAGAAGATGATTAAATATCATCAGCTGAAGATTCAGTCTGAAAACTGTTTTGAGTCTCAGTCAGATTAAAATCCGCCGAACCCGTCAGAACTCTGCAGGATTTATTGGACTAATGAAGTTAAATGATTAGAAACTTCATATAGTTTCTTTAAAACAGAAAATTTAAATGGTGAAAATGTTTCAGATGTTCCTAAATGTTCAGTCAGTAAATGTTTAACAGAACTCAAAGAACCTGAACTAGAAAAAGAAAATTTAAAATAACACAAAACAGGATTAAATTGTTTCAATAATATTGATTGA